CTGCAAGGGAATGTATAGGCATCTGTAGAAGGAAGCATAAGTCAAAACAAGGCAGAAACAGAAAAGAAGAAAACAAAAAGTACAAAAGCACTCACAGCAACAATCGGAGGCTGCGAGGGGATGGTCCTCACTGCCAAGATCCCAGCAGTTTTCGATGTTTCTGCCTATAAAGATTTAAGGGTCAAAGAGAGATAGAGGAATAGGACAGAACCACATAAGACAGGAAAAGACAGAGTAAGGGCAGAACTCACCATGAAGCCAGGAACGGCAGCAGCCACTTCTGCTATGGTTTCAGGAGCAGGAACCACTTGTTCTGATTGTTCCCCAGGCTCTGATCCGATTTGCTCTGCCTGCTCCTCAGCTGTTGGAGCGGCAGTGGAATGTTCTGCCTCTGGATCATCAAAAAGGGCCACCTCTAAGTTGGTTAGCCCTGCCCTTATATCTTCCTGCTGCTTCCGAGCCAAGGCAATACTCTCCGCTATCACCTCGGTAGGAATTTCCTCCTATGGATGCACAGAAGTCAGAACAGGGAAATAAGAGTGCAGCAGAAACAAATACTGCCAAGTATATAAAACTCACCTCTTCTTCCACTATTTTGGCCTTCTCTTGAGGCTCCTCTCCTACCTCTTCCAGCTCTTCCAGCTCCCTTTCTTGCCCCACAGCTTCGAAAGCCTCTCTCAGGTCATCATTCGTGCCAGAAGTGGTGGTAGGAATTGCCCTAGTTCCCTCCGGGGCCACATATTCTTCTACAATCTTCTTTCTAAGTCTTTTTGACTTAGTAAGAGGAGGAGAAGGACTTCCAACTGCAACAGACAAAAAAATAAGTTTGACAGAACAAGATTATGAAGAATTCAAAGAGGAAACTGTCAAAAAATACCTGGAGTCATAGACTGGGCAGTTTCTTTTCTCTTTCTTTTAACGGGAGAAGTGGCCTCGACAGGAGTCTGTTCTACCTGATCTTCTTCTTCTTCTTCTTCTTCCTCCTCTCCATTCCCGGAGGGCAGCTCCAGATCCCCGGCAGCAATAACAGAATTAACTATGCAGAGGACAAAAGTCAAAGTTCAAACCAGTAGAAGAGTAGTAGGAGAAACTGAATAAATATCACGAACTTACCAAACACCTCTCCACTTTGGGCTGGTTGGCTCCCTATATTCTTTGTCAAAGAGGGATCTGAGTACAGACAGAAAAGATTAGCATCATCACTAAAAACAGAATGGGCAACAACAGACAGAACTGAGAGATTACCTTCTATAACTTGCAT